ATTTGGAGTTTTCTTGGCAAAGATACAGGAGTGGTTTGCCACTTCCTTCTCCAGCTCATTTGACAGATGAGGAAACTGAGGCAAACAGAGTTAAATGATTCGAAAAGGGTCATGCAGTTAGTAAATATCTGAGGCCAAATTTGAACTCAAGTCCTCCTGACTCCAAGCTTGGCACTCTATCCATTGCACCACCTAGCTGCCTGACTTTAGAGAAAATTAACACAAATAATGTGTCCAAAGCAAGTGAGGTGATAATCCTTTATGCCCTAGTCAGACCATATCTGAAGTATCTTGTCCAATTTTAGATACCACATTTTTGAAGGGACATTGACACACTGGCACAAGACCAGAATGATGAAAGGATAAATTGAAAAATCTGGGAATGTTTAACCTGAAGGAGAGAAAGCAGAGAGTATATGATAGCTGTCTGTAAATATTTGGAGGTTGTTCGTGTGAAACGGGGATACCACTCACCCTGCTAGACCCAGAGTGCTAAAATAGAACCAAGAGTAGAAGTGAAAGGGAGACAAATTTTGACTGCATCTATGGAAAATCTTACTAACATTTAGGATTGTCCAAAACTGAAATGAGAGGTAATGAGTTCTCCATCACTGGATGCCTTCAAATGTAGACTGGTAAAGGTTGAAGTGAATGACCTCTGAAGAGATCATTTCCAACTCTGGGATTCTGTGATGTGTTATGATTCATTAAGAGGGGGAGGGAGGTCTATGGAAGGGAGGATGGGAAGGATGGCAGGAAGGGCCAACCAGGGCAGACTTCCATTGCTGACAGCCTGAGTCCCTTGTTCTCAAACTTGATTCCCTCTCTGGAGCCCCAAAGCCACCCAAACCCTCCCTGAAATGTCCACACAATGCTCACCTTTGTCCAGGCCTGGGGACCAGCCAATTGGCTCCTTTTGCTTTTCCTAATAGAATAGGGAATGGGAGTTGTGTGTGTGTGTGTGTGTGTGTGTGTGTGTGTGTGTGTGTGTGTAAGAATGGGTATAGTGGATATGTTAGAGAAGCTTTTCTCCTGGGGCTTCTGAGCTCTGTCCTCTTGCATGTGGTGAGATGTCCATGCTGGAGAGGAAGTAGGGGGAGGGCAAGGTCTAAAAGGACCATGGTGACTGTGACCAACAGGGCTGTGTGGGAAACGGAAGTCAGAGCCAGAGCTAACCATGGGAACCATAGGGGCTCCGAGGGTTTGGATCACACATATCTGTGCCTACACAAACACATTCACACTAACCTATTCATACACTTCCCCTGCCTCCTTCTTTCTCTGACTGTGTTTCTCTGCATTTCTGTTTCTGTTTATCGGTGTGTGTGTGTCTTTCTACATCTATGTGTCCCTCTCTCTGTGTGCTTATTTCTATATTCTTGTCTCAAATGAAATGGTATTTGTAAAGCACTTAGCTCAGTGCCTGGAGGATAGGAGGTGCTTAATAAATGCTTCTTCCCTTCCTCCTCATTTCTCTTCCTTTCTGTCTCGCTCTTTCTTTGTCTGTTCTTCTATCTTTTTCTCATTGAGCTGTTTCTCTCCAACCTTCTCTCTGTGTGTCTCTTTCTCTCTACATCTTTCTGTCTGTGTGTGTCTGTGGGTTCACCTCTCCTTTTTCTTTCCAATCTTCACAAGAGCATTTGAAGCATTGCTATGGGTTCCCTTCCTTTGTGTGTCAAGACCGGGAAGAGGGGCCTGGTCTTGGTGATGACCCAGTGCCCTTCCTTTGGAAGCAATGGGATAGTCCTATATGAAGCCCATGGTACTGGCCAGTGAAAGCACAGGGAGCCAAATTAAGCCCTTGCTCTTGAACGAAGCATAGGAGGGTAGAGAGGTGGTGAAGTCTGGCCATCTGGGTCTGGAAAACAGATCTACAGGCTGGCTACCAAGCAGGCTCCAAAAAAAAGCAGATGGGCATTATTGTAACCAAATGTGTAAAAGAGTGGGGATGGCGTTTGGTACGGGCAAATATTGAACGTACTCCAACCCTGCCATCCTCTTCCTCTTTAGCATCACTCTCCATCCCCCATAGTACTCTGTGAGCCTGGAAAGTTCTTTTTTGGGTTCTGAGTAGAGGCTATACTTGATCACATGCAGACTAATCTGCATCACTCTGGAGCTCAGACAACATTGTCGGACAGAATATTTTTGAGGTAGCAGGCTCCCTGTCACTGAAAGGGATGGCTGATTAATCAGCTCTCAGGGATGCTATATAGGTATTCTTAACCAAGAGCCTATGAACTTGTTTTTATTAAGTGTATTTCAATATAACTGGTTTCTTTGCAATCCTATGTATTTTATTTGGTGCATTTAAAAACATTATTCTGAGAAGGGGACCATAGGTTTCACCAGGCTGCCAAAGGAGTCCAGGACACACAAAAAAGATAGAAAACCCCTGCAGAGTGCTAGTCTAGCTTTGGGTGAGAGACAGGATGAGATGATCTCAAATGAGGTAATGCATGTAAAATGCCTGGCAAACTTCAAATACTTTATAAATATCAATTACCATTAGAATTCTGACCTCCGAAATCCCTTCCATCTCAAAAATTCTGTAGTCTTATTTCCAATATCATCCTCTTTGAAAAAAAAGTCTTCCTAGACTGGCTTAACCACTTAATGATAATCCCCTTCTCTTGAATTGTGCTTTACCATTTCAACTGTATAAAGAATTTTGGTGCAGAGAAAAGAGCTTGGCTAAGTCAGGAGAACTGGGTTTAGATCTTGTCTCCAAAATATACTAGCTGTAAGACTCTGGAGAAGTCATTCAACTTCTTTGATCTTTATTTTCTTCACCTGTAAAAGGGATATTATTATTATTATTATTAGCATTTATATAGCACCTACTATGTGCCAGGCATTGTAATAAGTGCTTTACAAATATTATCTTATTTGATAACATAGGACTACAGGTTTAGAACTGTTAGGGATCTTAGAGGCCATCTAGTCCAAACCCTGCATTTTACAGATAAGGAAACTGAGGCCCAGAGAGGTTAGGTGACTTAGAATAAATTGTACAACTTTACCTGTGTGGACAGTCAGCAAGTTTTTAATTACTCGACATTTCCATTTCCTCATCTCTAAAATGAGGATAATCATATTGGCACTACCAACTTCACAGGGTCGTTGGGAGGAAAATGTTCTGTGAACCTTAAAGCATTCTATAAATATGCACTATTTTTATTGCTCATCGACATCCCGCTTGTGGCCGGTGGCTGTTCCGTGCACTTGGAAGCCAGAAATTATGGCATTGGCTGGAGTGCCCTCCAGTGGTCATTCTGTGGAATTGTCTCCCAAAATGGGAAGGGCTCATTCACCCTGCAGCAGAAACTGCAGCTCTTATTCACAGGAGATAAAATTGACAGAAATAAAAATCATCCAGTCCAAAGGTCCTTGACTTGAGATCCATAAATTTGTTTCCTTAATATTTTGATAGCTATTTCAACATAATTTATTTCCTTTCGTAATCCTATGTATATTATTTGACGTATTTAAAAACATTATTCAAGAAGGCGGTCCGTAAGCTTCACTAGACTGTCAAAGGGGTCCAGGGCACCAAAAAAGGTTAAGAACCACGATCTAGTCCAATCTTCTCATTTTACAGATTAAGAAACTGAGGCTGAGAAAGAATAAGTGACTTGTCTAAGGTCACACAGCTAGTCTGGAGTGGCAGAGCCAGCCCTGGAACACAGGTCTCCTCGCTCCCAACCAGGGCAGTATACTGGACTGCTTCTGAAAATCAGGAGCTAAGAAGACAGCCCCTCTGCTTCCTCCCTTTCCCTCCCATCTTTATGTCTTGTAAGAGTATATAACATCTGGAATTCATCCGGAATATATTACATATATATGTATTATGTGTATGTATGTTCATACACATGCGTATACACAGGCTTTTATTTGTATGTATATGCATATGTGCATACATATACGCGTGTGTATACATGTATTGTGGTATAAGCATATGTGCATAGATATATAATATATATATATATATATACACACAAACATGTGAACATAGCACACATACACATACAAGGGGTATGAAGATGGGGGAAAGATTGAGAGGAAAGGGAAGAGATGGAAAGAGTGGTCCGGATCCTTCCCTGAGCAATTAGAAGTCATCACGAGTCTCCTTAGACCGTCTGGCTCAGGCAGCAGTGGGAGGCTTCTTTCCGGAGGGGCCTGTTTCAGTGGCGTTGCCCGGAGCTAGGGCCTGGAGAGATGCATTATGCATAGGGGCTCCCAACCAGGGGCCTGAGTAAGCACGATTGCTTCTAGCTTGGCATGGGGGGAGGCCAACTTCCCGGTCTTTCCTGCCCCCTTTCGCAACTCACAGGCATGCGGGCTGGCTCCATTCTATCGATCCACTCAGCCATTGCATTCAGCAAATTGACATATATAAAAAACACTCACTCTGAGTCTAGCTGAGCCAGCCCGAAGTGTGTTAGGGTGTATGTTTACCTACTTGGCATTATTTGAGGACTAACTAAAACCACTCCTCTCGCCCCCCCAAAAAAGAGAAATCCTCAGTAGCCTCTCCTAATGTTTGAATTTCCTCACAGTCATAGATTTAGAGCAGGAAGGGGTCTTGGAGGTCACTGAATCCAGCCCCTTCCTTTCATAGTTGAGGAAACTAAGGCAAACAACAGCTAAGTGTCTTTACCCAAGGCCACACAGCTTGTAAATGTCTGAGACGGAATTGGAATACAGGCTCTTCCCAACTCTAAGTATAATGTTCTACCTGTTACATCACACTGTTTCCCTATGAGAAGTGACTACTAGGGTATGGTAGAAAAGTCTTGGATTTATACTCATGGGGTCATTGAATTAAAACTAGAAAGGATTTGGGCTGTAGAGGCCATCACTTCTAACTCCTTCATTTTTATTGTTTTATTGTTAAGAAGATGGTCCTTTGTTTCAGGGAGACTTTTTTTGTAGTCATTTATTTTTGTAGTCAATTTCCCAAGGATCATTCAACCTAGCCTTCTCCTCTTCCATTCTAGGCCCAGCTCAATGTACTATGCAGTACTCAACCAAGAGGTATGTACTAATGAGTCAGTTTTATGGATTGTCCATCAAACTACACAAAGAGCTATTAAATGTTATATAGGATACTAATGATGGTGATGATTGTTGTTATCTGTTTCATTCATGTCTGTGACCCCATCTGAGGTTTTCTTGGCAAAGATCCTGGAGGAAACTGAGGCAAACAGGTAAATGACTTGCCCAGGGTCACACAGCTAGTAAGTATCTGAGGCCAGATTTGAACTCAGGTTTTCCTAATTCCAGGCCTGGTGCTCTGTCTAATGTGCCACCTAGCTGCCCCAGTGATTGTTTACAGATGATGAATGTGAATCTCAGAGAGGTGGTTGATGTGACTTATAGGTAATTAGCCATCAGGGGTAGGACTTGAACCCAGGTCCTCTGGTTTCAGAAGAAATGATCTTTCCACTAGATTATAGGAAGGCTGATTTTCAGGCCTAGTTCTGCCACTTTCTTACTGTATGATTTAGATCAAACTCTGCCCCTTCCTGGCAAAGCTATATCACTTTAGATGTTATTTAATAGTAATTTAATTTAATAGTAATAGCTGCACTATTGAGAATAGTAACATTAGAAGTGAAGAGCCAGACTTTCAAATGTTTTCCTCTGTTAATTATCTCCAGTTTATCCTGTCTATAGATTGCACACAGTTGTTTGCATGCTGTCTGCCTCATTAGACCGTGAGCTCCTTGAGGTCATGAGCTAATTTTTGCTCATTCATTGTATCCTCAGAGTTTTAGTATAATGTCTGGTACATAGTGGAGAAGCTAGGTGGTTAGATAGAGGGCTGGGCCTGGAGTCAGGAAGACTCATCTTCCCAAGTTCAAATCTGGCCTCAGACAGTTACTAGCTGTGTGACCCTAGGCAAGTCACTTCACCTTGTTTGCCTCAGTTTCCTCATCTGTCAGATGAGCTAGAGGAGGAAATGGCAAACCAGTCCAGTATCTTTGCCAAGAAAACCCCAAATGTGGTCATAAAAAGTCAGATGCGACTGAAAAGCAAACTGTGTTAATCTACTGAAAGTACAAGTAGGTTCAGAATAATGTTAATAATGGCTGACTTTCATGTACCCTTTTGGATGATTAATCCCATTTGATTGCTACTTGGATTCTGTGGCTGGGTACTTGAATAATCTCATCAATGTGGCTCCTCCTTCCAGTGGTACAGATTACACTTTATTTTATCCTGTGCTAATTATCTTATCCAGGTCCTGTAAACCTCCCACCAGGGATTCATCCAACATGATGGGAACCTTCCTCTAACACTCTTGACGTTGGTTTGTTACCCCAGACTGGGCTATCTTGAGACTCTAGTTCTACAATCATATGACTGAAAATTCAGGGCTCTATCACCTGATAGATAGTTGCCTTTCTGACATCCTTTTTGCCTCTTGTGCAACTCTTGGGAGATGACATGTTGCCGCCTACTCACACCCACTGCACACCTCTTCAAGTCCCTTTGGGAGGCTCTCAACTCTAATTCTTGGTAAACTGTCATATTCCATGACTTGAAACTATGTATAGCATCGTTGGTGGAGTCTTATTGTCAAGAAGATGGCCCTTTGTTTCAGGGAGAAGTTTTGGAGTCATTAATAGCACTGTACAACTTCCCAAAGGCCATGCAGCCTTCTAATTCTGTCCTGTTCCGTCCTAGGCCCAGCCCATTGTCTCATGTAACACTCATCCAAGAGATACGTACCAATGCATCAGTTTTATGGATTGTCCATCAAATTGCATGAAGTGCTATATACAATGTTATAGATGATGATGATGATGATGATGATGATGATGATGAAGATGATGATGGTAACATGTGCATGAGAAACCCCTTGGTTATGGAAAGAGATTCCATAAGGTAATGTTCTGTTTTACAGAAGCAAATGTTTATTTTGTAGTAGACAAACAATATAAGCATAATGTGATCTTGTGTTCTCTACAGCTGCTTTTTCTTTCGTTTCTTTTTTTTGTTATTTTTTTTGTTTTTTATAATAGTATGACTCAAGCTGTGATCTGCTATAGTACATTATAGTCAAAAGTTTGCCTGTTCTCTTCTCTTGTTTATTCCTATTTTACATATGAGAGACTCTGAAATACAGAAAACTGAAATGACTTAACCAAAGTCACACAGCTAGAAAGTGTGAGAAATAGGCAAGGATCACACAACTATCATAGTCCTAAAAAAAGTCACTTTTCATCCACTTAGCTTGTCCTGTGTGGATAGAGGGAACTCTAGTGAGTGATAATGGATCTCATTTAGGAGGCTCTGCAGAATTCCAGGGTTTTATACAATTAGTACTGTGCCAACTGCAAACAGGAGCACCTGCAGGACCTTACCCTCTCTATCTGTTGGGGAATCTCTTTGTTCTCATTTGGTCTCTGTGCTGGACATCCTTGAAGATAGTGGCAAATGCCTTCAGCGAACTCACAAGCTGGGTTTTATGCCTGGTTACTTACTATTAATCATAGTACCATCAAACAAAGTTCTCTCTGTTGTCCCCTCCTGGCTCAGCTTCTGACTTTTCAAACTTTGAAACTAGGCTTCTACTGCCATTTTACCCTGAACTTTCCCTCAGCACTTAGGGCCTCTTCATCCTGGAACATCCAATTTCCCCTGAGGCCTTCTCAATCTAGGACATCCCTCTGCCGGGCTGGACCCCTTCTCCCATTGGTGAGTCCCTCATTGGGCCTTCATTTTAAGGAGGAGGCCCAGGTCTGCCGCATCCTCATTCCTCTCCAGGCTGCACTCCTGACTCTCCCAGACTTTCTCTATTATTCCCACACTGGCTTCCTTCACCAATCACCTCCTCCCCCCACAGACTTTGAGTTTTCTTTAATGTGTTTCCTTCCCCATTAGAATGTAAGCTTCTTGAAGGCAGGGCCTGGTTTTTTTTTCTTCTTGTCTTTCTATTTCCAGCACTTAACCCGAATGTGACACATAGTACATAATCAATTCTTGTTGCCTTGCCTTGCGTGTTGCCTTGTTATACTTTCTAAGGATTTGTCTCTGATATTAAATCAGATAAAAGATGTAAAACACTTTGTAAACCTTTGTAAAATGTTTTGTAAACCTTAAAGTGTTCTATAAATGTTAGCTATTATGATGATGATGCGTGAAAGACCATTGATGGAGGAATAAGAGCCTTTAAGGCAGTGTTTAAAGTTATGGAATCTAATGCTTTTTTTTTTTTAATAGTAAACACTCAATAAACACAGTGGGATCTTGTGTTCTCTATACTTTTTTGTGGGGGAGAGGATAATTGTGTGATTGTTAAGTTTTGGTCTGCTATAGCATATTGTCAGCCAATCAGCATTTACTAAGACTCTACTATGTACCTGTTGTTGATTGTTAAGTTATTTTTCAATCATGTCCAACTCTTTGTGACCTTATTTGGGGTTTTCTTGGCAAAGATACTGGAGTGGTTTGCCATTTCCTTCTCCAGCTCATTTTACAAATGAGGAAACTGAGGCAAACAGGGGTAAGTGACTTGCCCAGAGTCACACAGATAATAAGTGTCTGAAGCCAGATTTGAACCCAGGAAGATGAGTCTTCTCAACTTCAGGCCTAGTATGCTTAGCTGCCCTATAGTACAACAAATATTTATTGAGCCCTTGCTGTGTACTGGGTGCTGGGGAGATACAAACCACAGGTAAGATACAGGGCCTGTTTTTATGAAGCTTGCAGACTAGTAGAGGAAAAAGACAATGACCCAGATACATGCAATATTACATAAGAGGCACAATCACTAAGCAAAGTGAGATTTGAAAAGAAAGGACCTGGAGTTGGTGAGGGGGCAAGGAAGATGTCATGGAGAAGGTAGCATTTGTATTAGGTTCTAAAGGATGGAGCAGGTCAAGGGAGGAAGGCTGATCCAAGCACTGAGAACAATTTGATAAGAACCTGAGAGCATAGCAAAAGGTGGGGGGGGGAGGGTAGAGAAGAAGGAGGGAGGCATGGTGATGTCCTGGTATTCTAAGAGCAGCAAATTTGGTGACAGACGGCCTGGGTTTAAATTCCAAATCTACCACTTGTTACCTGCGTGGTCTTTGGCCAAATCACTTAACGTCTCCAGGCCTCAGTTTCTTTATCTGTAACTGAGGGGGTTAGATCCAATGACCTCTGAGGTCTCTTCTAGTTATAAAGCTATGAAAGCACCCCCTGATACTGAGCAGAGAACTGGTTCTCAGTGGGAGGAACCCCAAAACAGGTCAGTTTTGATAGGGACAAAAGAGAAGGATTGTAAATTTAGAGTTAGAAGCTGCGTTAGAGGTCACTGAGTCAAACTCCCTTAGTTTACAGATGAGGGAAGGGAGGCTAAGAAAAGTTAATTCACTTACCCAAGGTCTCATTGATAATAAGTGAGAGGATCAGGATTTGAACCCAGGTACTCCAAATCTATCATGCTTATTCTACTGTACCACACTGCCTATTCCTTTTATAGTTTCCATTGTGACTGTCTCCTCAATTAAAATAGAAACTCCTTGAGGGCAGAGACAGTGTCTGATACTTCTCTGTATCTCTCCCAAGCCCTGCTCCACTCAGAAGAATTGGTTTGAAGACGAGTACACTGTCCAAGAAAGAGAGAAGACACCAGAGATAAATTTTGCTCACTTAATAGTTTTATCAAGGGAGTCTCAGTTTGTGTCTGTGGGCCTCAGTTTCCTCATCTGTAAAATGAAGATAAAATGATAGATGTCTCCTCTGGTTCTAAATCCTTTGCCAAAATCAGTCAATCAACCAACAGTCATTTTTTAAGCAATTACTATGTTTAAGACACTATACTAAGCACTGGGACACAGAGACAGAAAGGAAACAGTCCCTGCCTTCAAGAAGCTTACCTTCTAATGTACAACATGCACTCATGAGTATATACAATGGCACTCCATCCAGTCTCTAGGGCAGATGAGACATTCTCTGTGTCCTCCTGGGGAGTGGCAGGCAAGCCCCTTCCACCTGCCTATCCCATCACACAAGAGCCCTGGTTGGAGCGCGTGTGCCCTACATGATGGAAAGAGGTCACTAAGCAGGAAGTAAAAGCCCCTATTATTCTTGCCCCAATTATTCCTTGAATCATGTGATATTCCCTGTTCCAGGTTTATTCCCCATACTTTTCTGCTCTATTAGCTATGTGGCGTACTAAGTATGAGTTCAAATCCTGTATCAAACACTTATTAGCTATGGACTTGGATAGGTTACTTAGTCTCTCTCAGAGTCAGTTTCTTCATCTGTAAAATTGACACACTAATTCGTTGTTGGTGGAACTGTGAAGTGATCCAACCATTTTGGAGGGCAAACTGGAATTATGCCCAAAGAATCATTAAACTGCCTTTTGACCCAGCAATACCACTACTAGATCCGTTTCCAAAGATGGTTAGGGAAAAAGGAAAAGAACCTATATGTTCTAAAATGTTTATAGCAGCTCCTTTTGTGGTGGCAAAGAACTGGAAATTTCAGGGATGCCCATCAATTAAGGAATGGCTGAACAAGTTGTGGTATATGATTGTGATGGAATACTACTGTGCTATAAGAAATGATGAGCTGGATGATCTTAGAAAAACATGAATAGACTTACATGAAATAACAAAGAGCAAAATGAGTAGAACCAAGAGAACATTGTATACAGTAACTATGGTTTTAAAAATGACTTTGAGCGAATAAATTATTTTAACTATTATAAATACCCAAATTAACTATAAAGGACATATGAGAAAGATGCTGTATACATCCAGAGAAAAAACTGATGAATGAAAGTATGTATAGAATGATTTTACATATATATGTACACCCATTTGTGTCTCATCGTGGCCATCTCTGGGATCGGGAAGGGGAAAAAAGCAAAAAAATAACTTTGCTGTATATTTAAAAGGAATAGTAACTTGTATGTAGTAGATTTGCAGTTTCATGTGCAATCATCTTTTTTTATCATACTATGTTATGTAAAAGCTTGTTTTATGTCATAAATTAAAAATAAAATTTGTTAAAAAGGGGAATGATAATAGCAATATAAAATATTTGAATAGAGTTATGAGAATCTAATGAGATAACTTATATATAGTGTTTTGCAAACCTTAGAGCACTATGTAAATGCTAGTTGTCATCAATATCAATATTCCCCACCCTAGATCTGTTCCCCATATTACCCATCCCCACAGCAATATACCCTTCCCTGGCTTATTCCCTATGTGTATGTGTGTATGTATATATGTATGTATGTGTGTGTGTATGTATGTTTATGTGTATATATGTATGTGTGTGTGTATTCCCTGGCCCAAGTCTGTTCCCCAAATTTCTCCCTTCTGTCAGTGTCTTGCTTTAGCTCTCTCCCTACTGACTGTTTTTTTCCTTTCCATATACTTGGGGAAGGGAGTCTCTGTTTCTATTTCTACCCCAATATCTCTTTTCTTTCTCTTTCTTTCCCCACTTGACTTTATGTCCACTCCAGTCTCCTTTCCCCTACCTCTATTCCTACCCACCCCCAACATAAACATAATTAGACCATATTAATTATCCAACAAGTACCCTTTCCCCTCTATCCCTTTGGATGAAGATGGGTAACCCTGATGTCTGGGCCAACATATAGTGCAGAAGGAGTCATAGCTCCCAGAATGTTTGAAGTTCTGACACATTATGAGCTTCTCCTATGGTGGTTAGAAAAGTTTCATGAAGAGGGGCCATCATAACAACCAGAAGAGACCTTGAGGGGTATCGGGCTGGGTAAAGGAGTAGAATTGCATTACCTGGTAAGCCCTCAGAAGCCTATGAGGCAAGAGGTAGGGGATAGTGATCTCTGGACTACCACAAGGAGGGATTATGTATATGTTCTCCCCTTCTCCCACAACCCCAGATGTTAGCACCCAAGAATACAATTCTGATCACACCATCTGGTCATTGGGAATAGCCCCTGCTTTTAAGCATCAGCAAGAAAGTAGGAGGAAGAT